GTCACACCGCAGGAAGTTCATCGGGGAAGTTGAGAGTGACAGTCGGAAGTTAGCTCCCAGCTGAAACACGTGCATGGTCTCTGAGAGTGCATTTTCCGACTCTGAGTGAGAGCTCGCAGGAGCGAGCCCAGGATTAAACTCTCAGATTGGGCGATCGATGTAATCACCTCACGAGCATAAATCATGAGGGGATCAAGGGGCGCGGACGAGTTGCCCTCGAAATCGCTCAAGAAGCTCTCTGAGGAGTTCATGGGCCGAGCGGGTAGGGAAGACTCACGGTAACTCGTTACGACACCACCCCCAGGAGAGAAAGTTCGAAAAAAAATCCAGCAGATTGAACAGCCGGCCTGTTAACGCTTACGGCCGCGGCAGCGTCCTCTAGCGTTTCTTTCTGTTCGGGGCTGTTGTGCGCGGCGCCAAACTCAGAGCTCAAAACTCAGGGGCGAGACGACAGATGGCTTTTGGATCGAACACAAAGGCCTCCTCTAACGGGTTGGAGGGCATGTGAGCGAGCGAGCGAGCCAAACAACGATGCAGGGCTTCGAGAACGAAGACGACGACGACGACAACTACCTGTCCTAAGACGAGCAATAATATAATGCATCATGCCTAGCGTTGCTTCTCCGGCTGCCAAAAATAGAAGGAATCGAAATCGCTGCCGATTCTTCCTCTGTTGGTTTTGGCGCGAAATTTAAAGCACCCATAGAAAGCCTGAGATTCGTAACGATTCTTTTTCTCTCCACGGTCAAGCCCCAAGAAAAAGAACTTTGGGATCAAAAGCCCCTGTGCACTCCAGAGCATCGCGCCCACTAGCTCGGCTAGCGCGTTATCGTCTCGGACAGGTACCACATGCGCTCGGAGATCTTCAGTAGGCGACTCGCTCCCGGCTGTTTGGGGTACTCTGGAGGTTCTCGTCGTTGAGGATCCTTCAACCATCCGGCTTGGAACTTTCGAAAGCTTCTCAATCGATTGAAGCCTTTTCGATAAGCTCAATCAGTCGCGCGTTGAACAAAGGGCTCTCACCGGTCTCCTCGAGATAACGTCTCAATCGGGTTGAAGGATCTTGAACGCAGTAATCGATCCTCCGCTGATGAGCCGACAACGGGTCGCTCGCGCGGTGACACACCTCTCTAGACGTCTGAACTCTCGAGCTGGCTCAGACTGTCGATTGAAAACAAGAGACTTCCGCACTTCTGATTCGATGGAAACCGCTCCAGAAGTTCTTATCGATTGTCTAATCATGTCTGGAAACATTTCACGTGGCTCGCTGATGCGAACCCCCGACTGGTGGGACGCCTATCGTCGTTGAGATGACGAAACACCATGAGAAGAGAAAGCTTTCGCGGCCGCCTCCAGCGCCAGTCAGCTCCCTCGTCAGCGCCTCTCTGCGATCAAGGAACTGTCGGCTGTCTGTTTTTGCCCCTCGGAGGTCGCTTAGTCAGAAGACGCATCCGTCCCGTCGTTTATGCATGCGCAGCGCCGTTGTATATCTAAATGTAAATCAACACTTTCTCGAGCCCCGTAAGGTTCTTAGTGGCTCGGCGGGAACGATTGGAGTACCAATCTGAAGTTCACATTCATACATATCGCATGTCGAGCGAGTTGCTTTCTCTATCTCCGAATGCATAACTCCCACTCCCCGCAGGTGAGCACAATGTTCGCTGCGACCGATTGACATGGGTTCACAGACGTCCTTACGTAACCAGAAGAGCCATGGACAGCAGATGTGCCGCAGACGTTCTCAGCTAACCTGCTCTCAGGGCTCAATTGTGATCCAGATTTTCTCTTTGGTCCGCCATCTGCTCGTACGTCTTACGTGAACGGAAGCGACAGGAGCTCAACGACTCCCACGGATCATCGAAGCTGTACTATAGGGTTCGGGGAAACCGCGAGTAGTAGCACTTTCTACGAGAAGTAGGCAGCGAGCCGCGAAAAGAAGGGCTCCGGCCGAGAATTCGCTATCGAAACAGATCGATTTCAAGTCTACCGAGGCGACCCGATTCGTGATCCGCGCGCATTTGCGAGACCCGTTCGGGCCTATAATTGGCATATGCAAACTCGGAGATTGTATGAAGATGAATTCGATTACTGGCGCTTATAATCGACCAATGTTCAGGGTGGCAGGGTGACCCGGAAAGACCGTATCGACATCAATCATCGGCTTCCACGAATTTGATTTGCATGCGATGAGATTCTCCAGTCGGTCGGTGTTTCGATTGGGAAATTAGCTTACGAGCCAGACGGCCATCAAGTTAGGCTCTGATGAGCGCAAATAAACGTATGCATTCTCCGAAAGCTATCGCTACCGTGATTCCCCGCACCTGCTGGATCCAGAAGCAAGCAGGAGGAGCGAGAGAAGAGCAGAAATGAATCTGGAAATGAAGCAAGGCCATATGGTTCCCTTCACCAGTCGGGATTGCTGAGATACCGCAGCCTGTATCGGAAGCAGGCGTGCTGCTCGATTCTAGTTAAGACCACAAATGATAATATTTGTCTCAGGTCCGAATCAGACCTGGAAGTTCCCTTCATATCTTTGCGGACCACTTTTCGATTTCAATCAATTCCACTTTGAGCAAAAACTCGGGGATTCCCGCCTCTCGGTGAGAGTTCGGAGCGCGTCATTCGCTAAGAGCGAATCGAATTCAGAGCTCCGTCTTGGTCGGAGTTGTTCCGCTCCAGTCAGCGGTTCAAACACTGGATTTGAAAGTTTTTCTCCTAGCGGAGCGTTGAGGCTCAGCCCGGCGTCAGGCTCCGTGTTCGAAAACGTTCCCATGCTAGACTCACACCTGACGTTGCTCGGTGTGTCGATAGGCAGGCAGGTAGGCTCATTCGAATCGATGTTCAACGGACGTTAATCGCTGCTTGCTGCAGATCTGCCTTTGGACTGGAACGGGGATAATTACGTACTGTCTCCGAGCTGCTGCTGTCGCTGTTCTCGTTCCTAACTTTTTCTTTTTCTGACGAACAGAGACATCGATCCGTAGGTAGATTAGAACAGGTTTTGGCGCCAAATGCATTCAAATGCTGAAAATATTCTGTCGGCCGCTGTCATCACGTAAGCCCGGGAGTTGCGTGATCGGATGACGATCAACTTGACTCCGAGCTATCGGGACCAAATACTCAGACACATGTTCAGCTCGGAGAGCGCGTCTGATCGATTTCTCGATTGCCGCGATCTCGGTTCGCTGGGCATGTACATATCATGCCTCGTCAACAGGTTCTGTTTCTCGTCAGAGAGGAGAAGACACGACCAATATATGTACGATTGCTTTTCGGGCTCTCCCTACTATACAGCGACGTTCTCAAACGAATCTTAGCCAACGGGACGCAAATTTCACGGTTTTTAGTCGATCGGTTCAGGAGCGCGACATCGCCGGCTTAGACTCTCCGACGTTCGCATCCGTATTGCCCTTTCAAGTGCGTAGATAGAGATAGTGGAAGATCGAGGTACTGTACGGCATCGACCAGCGAACGTATTCGACTCTTTCGGCAGAAAAACGACGGACCGCAAATGGATGATAGTGGGACCTGTGTCAGGAAAATCTACAGACTCACGAAGAGTCAACAGACTCTCAAGTCTTAGTGCAACTTATCTCATTACCGAGAACGAACGCGATACCACCCCTAAGTTTGTCTAACGACTCTCATTTCGGCTCTCTCAAGTGGACTGGTCACGAAGCAACTCTTTCTCTGGGTGCCCATAATAATTACCCAGAGGCTGGGAGACAGCGATAGGACCAGACAGGATTATCGAGCCCTATAAAGAGATCGATGATAACGAGAGCTTCAGACAGCGGAGGGGAAATCTCCGGTCTGTGATCTGGGCTCTTGGACGACCACTGGAGCGTGGGGGAAGAAGCCGGGGCCTTCCTTACGGGCGGAGTTTCCCCGATTCTCATCGAAGTCTGAAGAACCATTCGCCATATTCGAATGATCTACGTCATCCAGAGATCATTGTTCTGCATTCGTACCCGATTCCGTCGCCTTATTCATTCTGCAACTGAGATTCTCAGTAGAAAAAACTGTTTGTTCGGCCTCTGCTCGAAACGTTAGCGAACCCCAAGACTCAGAAATCGAGCATGCTGAGCGGTCGGACCACTTGTAGCTAGCTCCGCTCGGCGTTAAGCTCGGGAAGACGACAACGAGTAAGAAAAAGAAGAGGCGACGGCGGTGTTGGTGGACGCGACCACGTGGTTGACCGCCGAACCTATCGCTGCCGAACCTCCTTTCAGAGCTACCCCCAAGCGATCCCTCACAACACCCCCAGAAAGAACATCGAAGACTTCGGGTGCTTGAACGGCGCTCCTCTCGATTGTTAGACCGCGTGTTTTTGACCGTTGGCGACTGTCAAATCTGACTCTTCGAGTTCACGAGCGACATCCGACGTTTCGACCTTAGACGGTACTCCGAGACGGGAACGCTCTACAACGTAAGGTCTCTCGTTGGCGGAATGAGGGAAAGGTCTGCATGAAGGTTTCGGTTAAGATTCAATCAACTCCGTCTCCAAGAGGATATTCAGGTTTGCGATCGCGTTACATGTACGTCGAGTCGGATCTCGTATGATCCAGGAACTGATACGTGTTCGGAGGAAGCTATCGATCGAACCGAATTTCAGGTGTGCACAACATGTACTGCGGTTCACTGACTCCGTTCGTACAGTACCGCAATGTCCTGCACACATGACTCGCGTGTTCGACGACGGGGCACTGAGCCGTGACTGGTTAGACGATGAAGCACCCTCGCCAGTATCAAGCGCAGAGGCTTTTTCGGATCTGACGGCGGCGAGTCCGAGCGACAGTAAGCGCCGCATCTGACAGGAACCCTCTCCCGAAAGAGGCGAGTGTTGCTTAAAAGCCCGAAACCGACCGAGAGCGAGCTAGTTTTTGTTGTGCGCTCCGTGGAAAGGCAGCAGGTTGAAACTCCTCGACACATTGGATACCTCTCGGTCATCACTAACGTAGTGTCATCATCATCATCATTTTGGAAAACGACACCTCAGAATGCCTACAGTTTTGATTCGTAGCGCGGTTGCCACCAAAGTTATGGCTTTCCAACGAGTGCCTGCAGTTCGACCGAGCGGATTGATCCGGAAAAAGCCGGTCGTGAATCCCTGTCGTTGTTTGTTCGGAACCCCTGACCACCAGGAAGCAATTCGGATCGCTCGCGATGAGATCAAGGAAGAGCAGAAGCGTTTAGCGAGCAAGTACAACTTTGACTTCGAGAGTTGTTCCCCGCTCCCTGGAAAATACCTCTACGAGAAAATCGATCGATCCGTCGATGAAATCGCCGCCCGGTTAATGAACGACGATGCCGATACCGAAAACCAGGAGAAATCCGTCAATTCGCAGCAGAAAAATCTCACCGGTACGTATTGACCACGGAATCCATACTCCGTTTTTGTCTCGGCCCCGCCCGCCCCTCCCCGTCGCGGTTTTTTAAACGCTCGGGCTCGCATGAGTCAGACAAAGTGGCGAACGCTCCTAGCCTAGTTTTGGTTCACGAGGTCCCGGCGACCGTTAGCTGAAGACTGTGCTGCTCTCTTCTCACAGCCAACCGGCTGGTTGCTTGGTTGCTTGGTCCGTCGGCCGGTCGCTCGGTCGATCTGCTAGCCGGCTCCTGGCTCAGCGAGCGAACCTTCAACGGTTCTTAACGGCTTTTCTGCAGACTCATTGTTAACTTGCCTGATGTCTCGCGGACTTTACTAAGCAGATGTATTCTTCATTACAGATTTCTACACAGTATCGCGGAAACGATCGTGCACCTTCGAAACTCCCAAAGAAAAAACTCTGACCACGAGTTCTCGACTTAGGATTCCGGAACTTCGGGAGTGACGCCCTACATTGACAGCATATGAGGATTCTTCAGTTTCGAAGATGTTGTGATCAAACCGGTGATATGTGTTACGAGCTCGGGATCGACGGCGCTCGTGACTCAAGTTGTACAAAAATCTGTATCTAGACCCGGACCGAATCTACTAGGATCTACAAATGGATGGAGTAACGAGTTTGAATGATGTAAACTGCGGAAAGGCCTCCAGTCAGTCAAAGAGTCCCTGGAAGTCTCGAAACAGACGATGAAATTTACGTCGATACAATAGACTTGACGGGAGAAAAAGAAACCTCCGCCTCTGAACGCATTAGAAGAGTCGTGACTCTATAGGATAAAGCTTTAATAATATAAGGTGCAATCGCACAAAAGTATGGCTCAAATTTATCGGAGAGATGATAGGCAACGCAAAACTGCAGAATAAATTCGAATTAATTGAAAGATTTGTGACTTCTCATTTCCCCCTTCGAATCACCAAGACATCGAGCCGGAGATCGAGAGCGGGGAGTTGGGCGGACGCGTGTTAGAAAAAAGAACGAAATCGGGGTTCGCATGTGGTCGCAGAGCCTGGTGACTTACGCATGTGCCGCAGCTGAGAGGCGAGTAGATTATAGGTCCGGTTATGTCTGGTTTGAAGCTTTTTTTTTGAGGTTTCAACGAGTTCGAGCTTCCGTCGCGGCTCCTGTATCCTGTATCAACGATGCCGGCGTATTATGAAAGGACCAGTCCGACTTCAATGATGACCGGCGCTTTGATTGACTGGCTGATGTGTTTGGGGAATACCATACACAAGCGCGACGACGGTAGCACATCTCGCTTCTCTTTGTTCCGTACCGCAGCACCGACCGATCTTGAGAAGCACTCGAGGCGTCTGCGAAATTCATTCTACCCTGTCTGATCGTGGGACCATAAGGATCAGAGAAAAGTCCGAATGGTGAATGAGATGTCCTGAATCGGTTGATTACTCTTGAGACCCGCGTGCGCCGTCAGGAGTCGAGATCTAAAAGCATTGCACGAGACGAATTTCAACCTTTGATATTGGCGATGGGACGAGCGGTCTTCCAAAGGAATCTGAACGTTATCCAAGGATGACAGTGAACCTGCTCCTGACCGACAATTACTCCCGATGAGAATTATTCGATTTCTTGATGATGAATACTCGAGTCTTTCCGTCATTGCATCTTCCGAGGCTGAGCCCTTTAAACTCTGTTGTGATGCGTCACGCTACCGCTTTGGGACAACGCTGTCAGAAGTCTCAACGGCCGTCGCTGTCTTGGCTCCAAGCAGCGCGCGCAGACAGTTCAGACGTTTCCATCTGCCTGTCCTACGGTGTAACGTTGAGAACTAGCACTAGACACGACCGAAAAAATCGCCGAAACGATCAGCACACTCGCAATAGGGAGCAGGTGGCTCCTTATAAGAAGAGCACATACCCGTGCGCGCTTTGCCTCAACCGTCACTGTCCGCAGTGAAACAGCTGTTTTGAATCGTCGCACGATCCGACAGAACCGACGACACTCCACAACGTGGTTTCTGATGCGGAGGAAATCGCGGGGTTGAGGGAGATTCCGGGACGCTCTGCACAGATCATTTATGCGGGAACCGTTCGCATAGATCCCCATGCTTCCGGAAGGCGATCTTGACCGCCAATTCTCAAGTATCTGCCTGTGGGTGCGAGTCGTCGGAGACCGAGACCCTTCCTGCCCCGTCTGGGTGCCTGATGAGGGAGCTCGCGCTAGTTTTGGATCCGGACCGGTTCTTCGATATTTGAGTAACCGGCCCTTCGATCATTGGGCCAAACCCATCCAGAGGGGCTTCCGGTGCACTTGAGTGCAATGTTTGCAATCATGGGAAAGAAAATTCACCGCGGCCGGATTCCACCTGCCTGAACTCTTTCACCGTACAGCCGTGACGCAACACCGGATTCCTGGCGCCGAAATTCCGGCGAAAGCAAAAATTCCCAAGTTTACTGTCGTCGCTCGTCGGTGTCGCAGCAATTCGGCGGTTTTGGTCGTTGATTACGAAATATAGGTGATAAAACCGTCCGTCACAACACAACGCAAGCCATATCGTGAAGTACCTACGAGTTCTACGAGGGGTACTATACATCACGGAAGGCCAATGAGTCTTTAGAGAGGGAGCTCTGAGGTTCGATATTGGGTTGTAAATAACGCGCGTTGAAAAATATTCCTTTCCTCATCAGAAAAAGTACCCGTGAACTAACACAGAAGTTCGATCGCTTCCGAACAGGTGTTTAATGACGACATCGGCGTCCTTTCAACGAGGATCTATCCGGAGAGGCGTAGCTCGTATCAACAGCAGTGAAAGTAGGAAGGAAGAGACAAAAAAATCTGACTGCTGCTATATCCACCTGAAAACAAGCTCGGAGTGGTTTTGGGACCCAAAGTGGAGGGACGAGGATTTCGGGGACAAATAGCCTGATTCTCACGGGTGTTTTTCGCAGCGAACCGGTGGCGTCGGAGCGAGAGACCACGTGAGTGTGACTGGCTCACCGAGTTCATGAACAAGTGGCTCTTGATGAGTTTACACATCAGCGGGTGTGCAGAGTGATCTCGAATCAGTCTGTGATCCGATAGCATGCCGAGAAAAGCTGGTTTGATCTGATTTTGAAATGATTCCATCATCATGAATCTTCGGTGGGAAGGTCGAGCTCTTTGTTGAATTGCTATCTCGTTTCACTTCAATCGAGTACAATTTAGATCTCAAATTGAGCGGCCCGACTCTCATTCACAGGCGCTTCATTGTGATCTTCACACGGAATCCCGCGAGTGATTTTGCGTACGATCGAGCGCGAAAACGAAAATTAGTCACCGCTCATTGGAGTCGAATGAAAATACACGTCGTGCAGCTCCAGAACCAAACGAAACCGCGAGCAATTCGTCATTGAGTGCGGTACAATAGCGCATCGAGTGTTTGCACGCGCAGAAATGCCGCCGTTTTCGTCGACCGCAACACAGCGTACTGTTTTCTGGTCAATTCCCCGCGCTACGAGCATTTCGCACCGGTTCGATCTGTTCTTACTTAGCTGAATCGATTTCGAGAGAATTCGAATAGGCCTTCCGAATCGTAGTCTGGATTCGCTCGCCGGCGTGTTGTTGAGGAACACAAAAGACGAAGCCCCCTCCACTTCAGCGTCGCCAGGGCAGTCTCAACTTAGAGTCACCGGTTGCCTATTCGGTCGGCTCGATGGCCGACTGCTTGGACTTGCTCGGGCCGATCTTAGCTGGGCCGGGCCGTCCGTCCGTGCGTCCGTTTGTCTCGCTGACTGCTTGGCTGACTCGATGTAAATAGTTCGAAGTCGGGGCATCTCAGTGGCCGTTGCTTCTTCATTGTTGGTCTTCGCGAAGAAGGCCGATATGGCATATGGACTCGGTGACCAGGTCTATCGAACAGGTAGAGTTCGAAGAGCACTTGCCTCAACGCATAACTTGCTTTGTGCAGGTGCTTACAGCGGATGGAACGCAAGAAATGCAGACAGCCGAGCGAGCTTGCTTGCGAGCAACCCACCTCAAGCGAGCCAGGGTTCCTTAGACGACTCCAGAAATGTGACAGATTTAAATCTCCGCTGAAAATGGGACAAACGCGCGCGATTCGAGAGCAATGTACAGAGTCGAGAACAGGTTGTCACAAGGCCTGAGAAAATTTCTTCCTCAGACTTCGTGCCTGTCGTCCAGATGCACTTCTGGAGTGTGCGTTATAGCCGATGATGTTAAAGAGCTGCTGCGTTCGCTGCCCCTGAGGAATCAAACGCCCCATTGTAAATGGCAAATCTATCGGATGGTGCAGATGCGCGGGAAATTTTCAACAGGAACGCGGAATTTGAAACGACAGAACAACATTTGTTGAGCCCAAAGTTAACGATTTGGAGAGAGTTTGCTCCCGAATCTGAATACGGCATGGCATCTGCACGAGTAGGAATGTATGGAAACCGCATGCCGCGTCATCGATTTGAGGAATTCGCTCTATCGAGTGCAATCCCCCTTGGAGAAGTGTCATACATAGATGTCAATGCTTCGCCTTCGGATATGACCCCCGCGCCGTTCAAACGATCAGGACTTTGAGCGTTGAGATGGCGAACAATGGTCTAAGGGGGGGGGGTGGTAGGGAGCGATTCCCACCCTTCGATCTGCGATCCAGCAGATATTTCGTATCCGATTGCTGGGTCCTTCCCGCTGGATGTAGCGCTCGGGATATTTCCAAGGTGTTGAACCGCACCCCATGGCTGTCAGAACGGACAACGAATGGACGTTAAGTCGGTCGCTATCCTCGATGTGTGGGCTTTCAATCAGCTCCTCTTATCACGCCCGAAATTTCGTTGCAACGCTCACTGTGTCCGAGCGGAAAGGTAACTGTGGAACCTTCCGCGATCGGTGCGAATGTCGGTTCATTAGAGTTCGCTTTCTCATCATGAGTAACCATTCATGCTCACTCTGCCTGGCTAATCCCGATCGAGTTGTGCCTCCCGGATCTATTCTAACGATCGATACACTATCGACACACGGCTTCAATCGGGGCTTTTCCCATTCCCAGGCACTTCCGGCCTTCTTTCATTGGAATCCCGGTACCGCGGGTCTAAAATAGGCGAGCGAAGTCGCTTGATTCCCATTATATCTGGCGAAGCCTTCTTGTCACTCCTACCCGTGCGCTTCTACCGTCTCGTTCCACTCATGATCGTCAAGGATCGGGGATTGTCCGGAGCTGTGACTCATCCCCCGAAGGTCACGATCCACCTGAGCGACGTCCAAGGACTAACATCGTGAATAATACCTTCTGTTACCTCACTTCCCGTGCCGCTCGAGCTGCGAAGTTTGTCCGGAGAGAAGGAGTCGGAAATCGGGGAGGGCCTGCGACCTGTTTCCTGGGAGGGTCCGTCTCGGATCAAACAGCCTGATCTTAATCATTCGTGCCTTCTAGAGCTATCCATCTGGGTGAATCCTAAGTTCTCTGCTTGGACGATCGTACGGCCCATGTCGACGAACCCTCGGAGCGCCGAGGAACAGCACATGTCGTGCTTGAGAACGTCCGCCTGCCCAACAGCCCTCATGGATTGCTGCTCGAGGTTATATCTCGAACACGCCACGCCGGCGCCGTCTCTGGACCCCTCATCGCTTCTCCCTC